TGAGTGTGCAGCTTGTTGCAGTTCATTTTAGGGAATGATAACCTTGTGCCATGCCCAAGCATGAATGACCCCACTCCCTTGCTGGCCTGCATTCACGTTTTCTAGGTTTAAGCATGCTTATGTGTTCTCTGCCACACAGATGCATGCCATGCCTGAGTCCAGCTGGACTGTACCCAACCTTACCTCCAAGTGTGCTAGGGCCGGCTGAACCATGCCTGAGCACTGTATGAAGCAATCGCACTAGTGAACTGGACTTGGGGTTAAACATGCTCAGTCACAGTATGGGGTTGCCTGGTGTGAATTCACCCTTATTTAACACAGGACCAGAGGCTTCTTTCCGTCATGTCTTACAAACAAGCAGATATGTGTGTTATCGCATGTTTGCTAGAACTTGCTTGCTACCTGGGGAAATTTTGCTTTTGGATGGTCAAGCGTTCATAATGGCCCGGTGGTGTCTGCAGTAGTGGAAGTTACCTACTGCAAACAAAGAAATCCTCTCACGTTTCCGTATGTGCTTTAAAGCTTAGGGGCAATTGGGACGCATATGGGTTATGAACAGCACGGGCTCTTCTTTTTCCTCCTGGGGTTTGTGTGGTTTGTTTTTTGTTTTTTTGTTTTTTTTTTACACACAAGACCGTGAAATTTGTCATTGGATATGTTTGCTTTACCTATGTTTTTATTCTGGGCTTTAAACCTTAGTTTTTACAACACTGTTAGCATTGGGTTACCATCCCTTTCTGTGTGTAAAAGCTCATACGACCTCTTTCTTCTTCTTGGCATGTCTGTACTGATAAGATCAAGTAGCTGGTTTCATAATTTCATAAAACTGGTTTGGAATAAGGTTGTCTAGTGCAATGACATTGCAGTAGATTCCACACCCTGTGACACAACATTGCCAAGGGCTAATTACTCACTTTCACCAGCCCAGAGGAGTATCGCAATCCAAAATAGCTCAGATATGGAAAGGCACTTTAATAAATCAGGGTGGGGGCTTTGTTTCTATATTGGTTGGTTCTCTTTCTCTGTGCTCATATCTGTGAAGAAAACAGAGTTAAAAAAATAAACAAAAAACCGCATATATATTGTGAACTATACAATGTATTTTTCTTTACTTCACCGGATTCTTGGCTGAACACACAATTCTATTATCCATGCTCACCTGTATAGGTGGGGTACAATGTTGCAATATTCTCCACTTTATGGGTCACGTCACAACATTGTTAGCTGTAGAAAAGCTTTTTTTAAAGGCTACGTTCACCTTTCTGAGAACAATAAATGCACATATATTTGCAGGAGCATACAGAGCATTGCTCTTGTGATCAGTGGATCATGGGCACAATGTCGGGCTCCTGCAGACACATCCTCCGGCTTTCTGCCTGTACCTCTTTTTGGACTGTTTTAAAATCTGGCGATTCCTCCAGATTTCAAAGTGATGATTTTTAAAATGTGACAGTGGCTGTAGGGGAGAGGAACGCCCACCCACTGTCAAAGGGGATTAGGGGGAGAGGAGGCTGAGTGAACATGTTGAATCCTAATTTCAGGTGTAACCTGTTTTAAAAAGGTGAACCTATCCTTTAAAAACCTGTATTTGGCTCATACTAGGGAAAAGTAGCTGGCTGTTAATATTTTGTGGACTCTTCCTTACTACTGGCACAAAAATGCTTTACTTCTGTGTATGGGGACACATTTGACCCTATCCCTATGTTCTGCAATACTGCATTGGGTGCCCAAGTTGCCAATCTCCAAGTTGAAGCATTATTGCTCATGGCTGGCTCCTTTTTTAGAAGTTTAACATTTTTGACAGGATTTTTGGAGGCTCTAGCAGCAGATCTGGTTGGTGGGGTAACATGAGGAAGGTAGGTACAGGCAGTTTTCAGTGCCTTTAGCTGGCCATAGACTGTTCGAATCTTGGCTGGTTCTGCGGGGATCAGCCGAGATTCGAACTATGGACTGTCTTGTCTGGTTTTACATGCTGTTATTGCTACTGGCCATTATAGCCACTAGCAGTACTCCATGGTGTTCTCCCGGTGGGAACAACAACCCCCCCTGTCAGTGTGAGGGATGGAAAGGAAAGGTAAAGAAAGAAGGGGAGGGTGGGAAAGGAAAAAAGGAGTGGAAAAGAGTATGAGGGGAAGAAAGGAAATGAAAGTAGTGGAGGGTAGGAAAGGAAGTTGAAAGGAAAGGAAAAGGACGGAAAGGAAAGGAGGGGGAGAAAAGGAAAGGGAAGGAGTGGAGGAGAATGTGAGAGGAGGAAAGGAAAGGATCGGAAAAAAAAAAAAAAAAAAAGGAAAGGAAAGGAGGGGGGGAGGGGAGGAAAAGGAAAAAGTAGTTGTGGAGGATAGTGTGAGTGGAGGAAAGGAAAAAAAAAGGAAAGGAAAGGAGTGGAGGGGGGGAGGAGAGGAGAGAAAAGAAAAAAAAGAAGAGAGGATGAAAGTGTGAGGTGAGGATAGGAAAGGAAATGAGTGGAGGGGGGAAGGTAGGGGAGGGAACGGTAGGAAATGTATAAGAGGAGTGGAGGAGAGTGTGAGGGGAAGAGAGGAAAAAGAAAGGAAAGGAAAAGAAAGGAAAAGTAATGAAAGGAAAGCAAAGGAAAGGAAATGAGTAGAGGGGAGGGTCGGAATGGAAAAGGAGGAGTGGAGGAGAGTGTGAGGCGAGGAAAAGAAAGGAAAGGGGTGGAGTATAGGGGACTTTAGAAAAGGAAAACGGAGGAGTGGAGGAGATTGTGAGTGAAGGAAAGGAAAGGGAAAGAAAGGAAAGGAGTGGAGGGGATGATAGGAAAGGAAAAAAGAAGATAAAAAAAAATCTTATCAGTAATGCAGTCTTATTAATATTATCAGTAATGCAGTATGTTACTCTAGTACATGGTCAAGTTGCTCTCTATTTTTAGGCTCAGGGCTCTGGACGTCAGCAAAATGGTATCTTCCAGCAAGAACAGGGAAAATGCTGGAGGCAATTTACAGCCCACACTAATTTTGGTAGCATAATTAATGTTGAATTTGTTCCTTACTAAAGAACGTTATTTTTATCAAGTTACTGCAAAGTTCCAATTTAATAATTATGCTACCAAAATGAGTGTGTGCTGAAAGTTTCCTCCAGCATTGCTCCTGTTTCTTCTTGCTGGAGGGTGCCATTTTGTTGAAGCTCAGAGCAGTAACTTCCTTACTGAAAACTCTCCCCCTCCTATTTGGTCTCAAAAACTGTCACTTTCTGCAATTTAAAATACAACAAGGCTTGAAATGTATGTTTGTCTTGGCTCGGATAGAGAGGAAGGCTGACATAAGTCTTTACAGTGCTGAAGTTCAAAGGCTGCCAGTGAGGGAGAGAGGAGAAAATATCAAAGTGAAATTTAACTTTTTTATCTCCCTGGCGGCAGCAGAGTTTGTCCTGTCAGTTTTCTTGCTTTTCTTTTCTCCCTCCCTAATTTGTGTTCCCTCGGCAGAGTTGGGTCATACGTGTTGCTTTCTTCCTGCTTCTTCAGCAACAGTAAATCATAAATTTGTTAGCTGATTAGCCTCTAGTGATTTTACACAATGTGCCAAGAATAGAGAGCAACTGAGCATGTGTACAGCAGGGTGAGACCGTGCCTAACTGGATTTTTAATGTTTTTTACATAGACCACTTCAGGCTGGCCCCAGGTATCAGAACTTAATTTTCTGACTAAATGTCCACTTTAGGCTGTGATGGGCAGTTGCAGATTGGCACAGAACCCACTCCTGTAGCAGCTGATGCAAGTGAAAAGGAGGGTTGCACACTGCTGGTATCATCCACAAGCTTTATTAGAGACTGCTCGGACAGAAGTGTGTGTGTGTGTGTCCATATCCGTCTTCAACTGGCATAGAATTGTAGTATTCTCCTAATTATAAGCAGATGTCCAGAGCATTGAGCACTCCATCCTTCCTTACATCACAGTGCACCCCCCTTACCTTCTACTGAGAAGAAGCTAGGGGTAGAGCTCGGTTTCAGAAAGTGCAGGGTCTGGAAGAGGGCTGGAGTAAACTGTCAGTCTGCTGAATGCTGAGACCAAGGGGGGCAAAGACAATGGGTGCTGTGGCTGCACAGAGGTGCAGAATCCTGTAGATCAGCATTTCTCAACCTTTGTAATGCAGAGGAACCCTTGACATAACCTTCCGGCCTCAGGGAACCCCTGCTAAAATGACTTTATCCACAATTCATGATACATTAGTGTGATAGTCAGTGGTAAGAATGCTCCTTACACTTTTGTGGTCATTTGGGATGAATTATCCCCTTACAGATTGCTAAAAAGGTTAATGGTGTCAGTGGGAACTTGCCTGAGAAGCAAAAATTGCTGGAGGACCCCCAGGGACAAGTTGTGGGATGAGTCGGGGGGGGGGGGGGGGGGGGGGGGTGCCGCAGCCGTACGAAGGGTGCAAGGGACACATGAAATAGCCTGACAGGACACACTCAGCCCTGCAGGCCTAGTGTTTTGACATATTAGCAGTAGACAGAGATGGGCACGCCATTATCTCTTGGTGGCTCCCAGTAGACAGGCCATGGCAGCTTTTAAATGTCTGCCTCTGAAGACTGTTGTTTTTTGAATGGGATTGGATTAATGGTTCCTAGGTAAAGAAATTTTAATGGGTCTGGAAATCTGTTTTTCTTTTGATGTATCTTGTGACCTCTTGAAACAGAATTGCCTGTGGACCCCCCCCCCCCCCCCCCTCCAGAAATTGGCACTGGTTGTGAATACAGCCAATCAGATTCCAGGTGTCATTTCAGCTTAGTGTATTGTAATACACATGCACTTTCTTTTAAATCATGAAACTGCATGCCAGTGTAATGTAAAGTGCATTGAAGCTTTTATTTTTTTCCCCAGTTTTTACATTTGAATGGAAACTGTAGATGCCAAAAAATGTGTGAATTCAACCTTAGGAATTTCCTAGAAAATCCAAATCTGGAGATTAATATTGTCCTGGTGCTAGATTTCCATACTAACTTTTTTTTTTTTTTTTTTTTTTTTTTCACTTTTCCATCTTAGACTTATGAACAAGTTAAGTGCAAACTCCATTCCAAAAATCAATGTTTCCAAACAAAACTGGCATCAGGTAAGTAAGGCGTAATCTGAGGTGTGTAGCTGTAATTTTTTATAGATATGAATGTGCGTTGAAAGTGGTGTCTTTAAGCTTTCTGGCAGTTCAAAAAAAAAATTCCAGGCTAAGATTTAGTTTCAATTTCCCAAGTCCAAACCCACGTTTGTGGTGTGTGGGTTTTTTTTTGTCCCCAACCCCCCCAAGAGTAAGCGATGATTTAATGGAACTTTTCACTAAAAAAAGTTTTATTTTGCAGATAACATAGTTTTTATCTGCTTTTTCCTACAAATATGCCTTTAGGACTATTTTACTGTCCTGTAGTTTGCTAGGTAGGCATGTAGCAATGAGAGATGCCATAAATTCAAGCTGAACAATGCAAATGTGGTGTCTGTGAAATGTCAGAAGTCATGTGGTCAGAACAAAGCTGCCAAAAAGCTAGACTTTTTCTGCAGGTCAGCACATGATCCACAATTGAATACAGTATGTACTAAGATGCAGACAGTTGTAAAAAAAAAAACACAAAACATGGCATCCACAGGGGCCCATGCAAACTGACATAACCTGAATCCTTATTCATCAGGTGTTTTTGTTTTTGTGTTTTTGTTTTTTTTTTTTCTGCTGTGATCTCCATCTTCCCCACTAATTTGGTACCAATAATATGGTATATTTGAAAGGGGAATGCTCTAGTCTTTGAATAATACAAAGTTTGGTGTTTGTGATACCCCCTTATTGGCTAACTTGAGTTATTAAAAATGCAAGCTTTCATAATACCTTAGATTGCCTTTTTTCAGGAATTTACAAAATTCTGAAAATGTTTCTGAAATTGCATAATTTTTAGGATAAATGCCAAACAAATATATATATATATTAGTTGGTTCCAGATTTATTTGGATACAGGCACAATTTTCATGCTTTTGGCTCTGTATGCCACCAGAATAAATTGAAATGAAATCGTACAAATTTTAGGAACTGCAACCATTTTTATACATAGTCCCTCCATTTTCAGGGGCTCAAATGTAATTGGACAAATGAATATAATCACAAACGTTCATTTTTAATATTTTGTTGCGAGTCCTTTACTGGCAATGACTGCCTGGAACCCATGGACATTATCAGACTGGTTTTCCTCCTTTTTGATGATTGCCAGGCTCTAACTAGCGGTCTTCAGTTCTTTGTGGGTCTTTCTGCCTTTAGTTTTGCCTTCAGCAAATGAAATGCATGCTCAATTGGGTTGAGATCAGGTAATTGTCCCAGCTATTGCAGAATATTCCACTTTTTTCTTCAAAAACTCCTGGGTTTTGGATCATTGTCCATCTGTACTGTGAAGCGCCGTCCAATCAACTTTGCTGCATTTGGCTGAATCTGGGCTGACCGTATATCTCTATAAATACTGCAGAATTCATCTGGCTGCTTCTGTCCCATCAAACACCAATGACCCAGTGCCACTGGAAGCCATGCATGCTCATGCAATCACACCGCCTCCACCATGTTTTACAGATGACGTTCTATGCTTTGGCTCATGAGCTGCTCCAATCTTCTCCACTTCTTCTTTTTTTTTTTTTTTTTTTTTTTTTCCTTCTCATCATTCTGGTACAGATTAATCTTCGTTTCATCTGTCCAAACAATGCTTTGCCAAAAAACCTCTAAAAAGACAGACCAGTTCTGGAAAAGTCTAATCTGGCTTTTCTATTCTTCAGGCTTATGAATGGTTTACACCTCGTGGTGAACCCTCTGTATTTGCTCTCATGAAGTGTTCTCTTGATTGTAGACTGACAATGATACTCCCACCTCCTGGAGGGTGTCCTTCACTTGTCTGGATGTTGTGAATGTGTTTTTCTTTACCATAGTGAGGATCCTGTGATCATCTACCACAGTTGTCTTCCTTGGACGTCCATGTTTTTATTTATGTTGCGGAGCTCACCAGTGCGTTCTTTCCTCAGAATGTACCAAACTGTTGATTTGGCCATTCCTAATGTTGCTGCTATCTCTGATGGATTTGTTTTTATTTTTGAAACCTTACAATGGCCTGTTTCACTTGCATGGGCAGCTCCTTTGAGTGCATGATTTAGGTTTACAGCAAGAGATTCCAAATGCAAATATCACACTTGGAATCAACTCCAGACCTTTTACCTGCCTAACTGATGAAATAACCAAGGAGTAGCCCACACCTGGCTGTGAAACTGCTTTTGATTCAATTGTCCAATTACTTTTGGTCCCTTGAAAAAAGGGATGTGGCTGCTCTTAAGAGCTGTAATTCCTAAACCTTGCCTCCAATGTCGATGTACATACCCTCATATTAAACCTTAATGCACTTTGAGCCCATATCTATTGTTTAACTATAGCTTGAATATGTTTTGGTAAATACCTGGAAAAAAACGTGTGTGTGTGTTTTTAAAACTATAGCCATTTGCAATCCATGTAGATTACAATTATGTGAACTGGGAGTGCATGAAGAGTTTTTATATTAACATTGAAAAATGTGATTATTTCAGTGCAGAATAAAATATGCTGCATGCATTACTTGCACCAAATAATGATATATTTTCTCTTTCCCACAGCTGGAAAATCTCTCAAACTTTATCCGAGCCATGTCTACTTATGGGATGAAGTCTGTAGATCTGTTTGAAGCAAATGACCTGTTTGAGAATGGCAATATGACCCAAGTACAAGTTTCTTTGCTGGCCCTAGCTGGAATGGTATATTGTCTATTTTGAGAATGATTAATGAGGAATATTTGCCAGCGATCCCTATTTTAATTGCATATGATGTGTATTTTGTTTATATTATCCAATGTTAAAATATTTCCGAATATTACTCTAATGCAGCGGTCCCTGAATTTTCAGGCATGAGTGGCCACTCGAGCTCCATCTGCATCAGACTTTCTCTGCTTTACCAAACACAATGCAAAGTATCTGCCTAGGATATATTCATACACTGCTCCAAAAAATTAAAGGAACACTTTTTTTAATCAGAGTATAGCATCAAGTCAAACTCCTGGGATATTGATATGTTCATTTTAAGTAGCAGAGGCAGTTGTTCAGTTTCAGCTGTTTTGGTGAATTTAACAGCAGGAGCAGTAGCTGGGCAACAATGAGACGACCCCCACCAAAACAGGAATGGTTTTACAGGTGGAGGCCACTGCCATTTTTTTTTTTTCTTCTACTATATCTTTTCAGACTGTTTTTCACTAGCTTTGCATTTGGCTAGGATCAGTGTCACTACTGGTAGCATGAGGCGTTTACCTGGACCCTACAGAGGTTGTATAGGCAGTCCAACTCCTCCAGGATGTCACATCAATACATGCCATTGCCAAAAGATGTCTCTCAGCACAATCTCAAGAGCATGGAGAAGTTTCGAGGAGACAGTTACTCTAGGAGAACTGGACAGGGCTGTGAAAATCCTTAACCCATCAGCAGGACCGGTATCTGCTCCTTTGTGCAAGGAGGAACAGGATGCGCACTGCTAGAGCCCTGCAAAATGACCTCTAGCAGGCCAAAGGTGTGTGTGTTTCTGACCAAAACAATCAGAAACAGACTTCATGAGGGTGGCCTGTGGGCCCTGTGCTCACTGCCTGGCACCATAGATCTCGATTGGCATTTGCCATTGAACACTAGAATTGTCAGGTTCACCATTGGAGCCCTGTGCTTTTCTCAGATGAGAGCAGGTTCACCCTGAGCACAGATGGACGTGAAAGGGTCTGGAGAAGCGGTGGAGAACCTTACGCTGCCTGTAACATCGTTCAGCATGACTGTTTTGGTGGTGGGTCAGTGATGGCGTGGGGAGGCATATCCATGGAAGGACGCACAGACCTCTACAAGTTAGACAATGGCATCCTGACTGCCGTTATGTATCTGGATGAAATCCTTGGATCCGTTGTCGGACCCTACACTAGTACAGTGGGTCCTGGGTTCCTCCAATGCCTGGCCTCATGTGGTGACAGTATGCAGGCAATTCCTGAAGGATGAAGGAATTGACACCCTTGAATGGCCCACACGCTTGTCTAACCTTAATCCAATAGAACACCATGTTTCGGTCCATCAGATGCCGCCAGGTTGCACCTCAGATTGTCCAGGAGCTCAGTGATGCCCTGGTCCAGATCCAGGAGGAAATACCCCAGGACACCATCCATCGCTGAGTACCATTTTTTGAGTTGCTGCAATGAAATTTCAGCAAAATGGGCTAGCCTGCTGTATCCTTTAGATTAAAAAGAAAAAAAAACAAAAGTTTGATTTTAGGGGTGTCTTTTGAATTCAGTCCTTACATCCAGTCCATGTCCGTATAGATATCCAGCACATTCATTGAGATCTGATGTGTTTTTCAGCTTTAACCTTTCACATTTTTCCTCATTGAGATCTGGAGGTTTCCATTTTTTTTTTTTTTTTTTTTTTTTTTTTATTAAACTTACAGCTTTCAGATTATTAGAGAAATTTGGATATTTACATTTTTGCGTCTTTTTTTAATTTTTTTTATTTTTACCATTGAGCAATTTAAAGTGTACAAATATTTTTTATATATTTAATACAGGTTAAACTTTTTATATTTAGCAGGAATGTTAAAAAAAAAAAAAAAAAAAAAGATTTTACATCTAATAATGGTTTTGGTGTATTTTCAGTGAAAATATTGCTTTGATAAATATAACGAGGTCTAAAAAAAATCTGCAGCACCTTCCTTTTATTCCACTAGTCCAGTGGTGGGCAACCTTTTTTTTCAACTGAGCCAAATCTCGCCAAAACCACGATTGAAATTTATTTTGAGAGCCACATTTTTAAAACTGAAAATACATCCCCCATATAGTAATTCATCCCCCATATTAAGTCCCCAAGTCCCCCTGTGTCAATTCACTTACCTTTGCTCCGCACGTTCCTCTCGCCGTGTTCCCGCGCCGTTCCTGGTGTAGCATGAAAATCTGTCTCCTATGAGGATCTGTCCCCCTCGACGTATCTGCGCATGTGCCAGTTTCACGCATTGGCAGCCGATCGGCAATCTCCGGCACATGCGCAGATACGTCGAGGGGGACAGATCCTCATAGGAGACAGATTTTCATGCTACACCGGTCTTCAGGGCGGACTGTGAGAGGAGCCTAGCGGGAGCCTAGCTCCGCGGGCCGGATTAAAAGGTCCGCCGGGCCGTAGTTTGCCCATTGCTGCCCTATTGCCTGTCACCTGGTGGGCAGTGTGCTCCAGAGCCGCAGCCAAGGTGAAAAAGAGCCGCGGGTTGCCGACACCCGCACTAGTCCTATGCTTTCAGAAAATCTGATCAGGGGAAGGGGGGGGGGGGGGAATCTTTTTACAAACTCCAAAAGCTGTGAGGGGAAAAATAAAATGGCAATGGAAAAAATTGCAAAAACAGTACAACCAGCTGAGTTTAAAAGTGGAACACTGCCTGGCAGGGAAAGGGTTAACGTGATTCTAAAAAAAAGTTGTGTTTTTGGTTTGGTTTTTTTTTTTTTTTTTTTTTGGGTCCCCTGTGATGATCCATAGCCTTTTTGTTATGGAGGAACTCCGAGCATCCGAGCTCAGCCGCACCTCAATGTGTTCTGCTCACAGGCTGTGATTGACAGCAGCAGGAGCCAGTGGCTCCCTCCCGCTTCTGTGTCAGCCAATGAAGAGAGAGAGAGACGCGTGGGAGTCACTGCTCTCGTGTATATCAATGGATTGAGATGGGGCTCAGGTAAGTATAAGGGGGCCTGGGGGGGGAGCTGCACACAGGTTTTTGTACCTTAATGCATTAAAGTGGAGCTCCACCCAAAAGGGGAAGTTCTGCTTTAAGCCTTTGTCCCCTGCTCTCGCATTTGGGAGGATTGGCACCTTTTGGGGAGAGGGTATCTGAATTTGACAGGTACCTGCTCCCACTTTCCACTGCGATCGCCTAGGCGATCGGAAGCGGAAGTTGTCCTCTCCCCCTCCCCTTCTAGGACACGTGACAGTCCCTTCTAGGATGTGCAGCGTGACAGGTGAAGCCGCAAGCTGTCCTGCCACAAGACTACGGAGCCATTCACAATGTGCCCAGCAGCTTACCTTGCATATTAAGAGTCCGTAATGAAAAAAGCAGCTGGTTTTTCTTCTGATTCTTGTAGAGCTTCCTGCTTTTTAACTAGTTAATTTAGTCTGCAGTTACAAATGTGTATTCACTTTTAAATAATGCTACTGTTTTGTGTCTTTTCTCTGGGAGCTGCCAACAGCTTGATAAGAAAAGGAGGAGAAAATAAGCAACAAGCAGGCAGACTGTAGTAATTTTAAGGCCAAACTGACACTCCCTGCCCTGTGAGCTGAAGTATAGAAGCAACAGGGTCATTCAATAGCACATAGTAACATTTTGCTCCTTTCAAAACCAGGGTGAAAGGATATAGTATTGCATGCCTCTGATGAGCATTTCTGCAACTTTGCTTCTATCATCTCCATTAAACTATTTCCTATCTTTTGCTTTTCTGTTTCAGGCAAAGACGAGAGGTATTCAAAGTGATGTGGATATTGGAGTGAAATATGCTGAGAAGCAGCAAAGAAATTTTGATGATAATATAAAGAAGGCTGGGCAGTGTGTTATAGGACTGCAGGTAAGATTGGTAGGTTATGTTTACCGTGAGGAGGAAAGTTTTAAGCGAATATTTGGGAAGAGCAATTTAAAAACTGTTGCTACACAGATTAAGTCCTCCACAGTGGATTTTTTTTTTTTTTCAGATGGTGAGTGTGACAGTCAAAACTTCTTCATGCCTTGAAGTGAAATTCTGGTATGACCCGAAGTACTTCTAAACTGTTCCTTTCCCCTTCCTAATACCTATGCTTACAAAGTTGTCTAAGAAAGATTACCTATTTTCATGTGATCTTTTTCCCATGTGTTAGCCAGCACCGCGCTGCAGGGGAGAGGCAGAAGTGTTGACGGTGGATTTCCTAACCTTTGTCAGAGCACCCTCTCCTTTTCTTGCAGCTGCCACTAGCTGACACAGGAGATCACATGACTGGACCAGATTTTGCATGAATATAGCTACATTATCTCACAGAAGTGAGTACACCCTTCACATTTTTGTAAATTGTATATCTTTTCATGTGACAATACTGAAGAAATGACGCTTTGTTACAATGTAAAGTAGTGAGTTTACAGCTTGTATAAGTGTGTAAATTTGCTGTCCCCTCAAAATAACTCAACACACAGCCATTAATGTCTAAACCGCTGGCAACAAAAGTGAGTACACCTCCAAGTGAAAATGTCCAAATTGGGCCCAATTAGCTATTTTCCCTCCCTGGTGTCATGTGACTTGTTAGTGTTACAAGGTCTCAGGTGTGAATGGGGAGCAGGTGGGTTCAATTTGGTGTTATCGTTCTCACACTGGTCACTGGAAGTTCAACCTCATGGCAAAGAACTCTGAGGATCCAAAAAAAAAAGAATTGTTGCTCTACTTAAAGATGGCCTAGGCTATAAGAAGATTGCCAAGACCCAGAAACTGAGTTACAGCACGGTGGCCAAGACCACACAGCGGTTTAACAGGACAGGTTCCACTCAGAACAGGCCTCGCCATGGTCGACCAAAGAAGTTGAGTGTACGTGCTCAGCGTCATATCCAGAGGTTGTCCTTGGGAAATAGATGTATGAGTGTTGCCAGCATTGCTGCAGAGGTTGAAGGGGTGGGGGGGTCAGCCTGTCAGTGCTCAGACCATACGCCGCACACTGCATCAATTTGGGCTGCATGGTTGTCGTCCCAGAAGGAAGCCTCTTCTAAAGATAATGCACAAAGCCCGCGAACAGTTTGCTGAAGACAAGCAGACTAAAGACATGGATTACTGGAACCATGTCCTGTGGTCTGATGAGACCAAGATAAACTTATTTGGTTCAGATGGTGTCAAGTGTGTGTGGCGGCAACCAGGTGAGGAGTAGAAAGACAAGTGTGTCTTGCCTACAGTCAGTTATGGTCTGGGACTGCATGAGTACTGCCAGCACTGGGGAGCTACAGTTCATTGAGGGAACCATGAATGCCAACATGTACTGTGACATACTGAAGCAGAGCATGATCCCTTCCCTTTGGAGACTGGGCTGCAGGCCAGTATTTTCAACATAATGACCCCAAACACACCTCCAAGAGGACCATTGCCTTGCTAAAGAAGCTGAGGGTAAAGGTGATGGATTGGCCAAGCATGTCTCCAGTCCTAAACCCTATTAACCATCTGTGGGGCATCCTCAAACAGAAGGTGGAGGAGCGCAAGGTCTCTAACATCCACCAGCTCCGTGATGTTGTCATGGAGGCATGGAAGAGGACTCTAGTGGCGACCTGTGAAGCTCTAGTGAACTCCATGCCCAAGAGGCTTAAGGCAGAGCTGTAAAATAATGGTGGCCACACAAAATATTGACACTTTGGGCCCAATTTGGACATTTTCACTTAGGGGTGTACTCACTTTTGTGGCCAGCGGTTAAGACATTAATGGCTGTTAAGTTATTTTTAAGGGGCGCAGCCAATTTTACACTGTTATACAAGCTGTACACTCCCTACTTTACATTGTAGCAGTGTCATTTCTTCAGTGTTGTCAGATGAAGATATCTATTTACAAAAATGTGAAGGGTGTACTCACTTCTGTGAGATACTGTATGTATACACATCTTTCATACACTGGTTAGTAAGCATAGGTTTTGATGAAGGAGGGGACAGTCGTAAGAGTAGTTGGGGTTATCCCTGAATTCCATTTTTAACTGCTGTTAAAGCATGGCTCCCTCATGCCAAACCCAGTCATTGTAAGCTAAGTTTGGGCATCTGACATTGTAAATTTGATTTGACAAATTAACTTTACGTGTATCCCTAAGAAGGGGCATTAAAATGCCAGTGACATTCTATCAAAGTTAGTGCCAGACAGGCAAGTATGTATTCACCTATTGCCAACCTAGTCCATTTTCTATTCCCATTAAAAACCAGTGCTGATAGCGTATTCCTTACAATTGCCCTTTCATTTCTCCATTGAAGTACATTTTGTATGCTTGGCAGAGTGAAGTGTACAAGGCACTCTGATTGCATGTTGGCTTAAATGTGTTTTGAATTAAACTTGTGTGTCTGACTATATCAATTCTGTGGCCAAATTCAAGTTGGGGGGGGTGACTATTAGGGTCATAATCCATTTTTTTTTTTTTTTTTTTTTCTTGCCAAGGAAGGGTTATCCTTCCTGTTTAAATCTCTCCTGTTCTGAGTCTGAACTGAAGTTAAAAGACCCAGAGCAGGATAAAATCAAGCGATTATAGTGCCAGTCCTTCGTCTTCTTTCTTTTTTTTTTTTTTTTTTTTTTTTTTTTTTTTTTTTTTTTTTTACCATTTGGATCTGTGTTCTTTCAGGTAAGCTTAGGTGAAATATAATGCAGTGAGGGCCTTTTAACATCTGAGATGTGTATTATAACCAATAGATTTCTTCTTTGTGTCTTGGTTCTTGTCCTCATGTAGATGGGGACAAATAAATGTGCCAGCCAGTCTGGCATGACTGCATATGGGACAAGAAGACATCTCTATGACCCAAAGCATAATATCTTGCCACCTATGGATCATTCCACTATTAGTCTTCAGATGGGAACCAACAAAGGAGCCAGTCAGGTGAGCAGAAGTACATAAAAGGAGCAGCTTTAAATTTTTATTGAAACAATGTATAACTGTGTAGATCAGTTTGACGCTTTTTCACAAGCAATGTAATTTTACAGAATGTGAAGTTTGTTGAAAATTGAAGAAAATGGGTACATTTTTATAAAAAGTGTACTTAACTGGGTAGATTTGTGTGCCCATATTCTATGACCTTCAGCAAGCATTTGTCCCTGCAATTTTCTTAAAACATGGCTATGGGTCCAATGAATGTTCTCTCATGTGGAGGATCTATTGATATGACCCAGCTTCTAGTCAAGTTTTGAAGTGAATATGGATTTGAATGTAACAGGTTTCCATGAGGACTGATGGTGAATCGCTGGTCAAATATTGACTAGGGGTGATTTTAGGGATGTTTCAAAGGAAATTGATGCTAGTGAACATAAACATTGACAGATTTATAAATGAGGCAAATGTTACTGAGACCAAGATTTCCCATGGAAAGTTCTGAGCTGAACAAATGACAATGTTTTTTAAATACATGTAATGTTTCAATGCATATTTCTTGGTAATGGGCCGTTCTATGTTCCTTTTAGTGTTTTGCATCGCATTTGTTTTACAAAAAGTATGGCCCCTTTTCACACGGGCAATCCAGTCCGCCTGCCCATTTTTTCAGGCAGACCCTCCATTCTCCTCCACGAGCAGTCAGATGTAAATAAATTTCTGTCTATTTACAACCGACTACCTCTGATCCGATCTTGCAAATACAAAAGGATGGAGGATCTGCTTCCCTCTGATCGGAAGGCAGTCAGGTGTTGACGAGAAGCTGGTCGGTCTACATCTGACTGCCTAGTGAGAAGAGTGGGCTGCATCCAGCTCAGCAGGGGATCAGGGGATTAAAACTATCTATACTATGGCTTCCTGTTAAATTATTTTTTTTTAGCTGTCTAGCATTGGATAACATCTGTCTCTTTTCCCAAATAAGCCCTTATATGTTTTGTGCTTACCATTGTTTACATGTTCTGCACTGTTCCAGGTGGGTATGACGGCTCCAGGAACACGACGACACATCTATGATACCAAAACGGGTACTGAGAAGTGTGATAACTCTACCATGTCACTACAGATGGGATATAACCAAGGGGCCAATCAAAGTGGCCAGATTTTTGGTTTGGGCCGGCAGATCTACGATCCCAAATATTGCCCTACGGGCAATCCTGATGACCTGCCACATGAGGATGATGAACAGCAACAGTACAATTACATTCATGAACAGGACTTTTAGATGGAGTGTACACTGCACAATACAATGTACAGCCCATATCACACCAAGCTGCCTTTCTCCTTCCCCAAAATGGTAGACTTTCATAGTTTTCTGTATTTAAAAATGTTGCTTTTAAGATGATTAAGTATTAACAGGAAGAGGTTCACAGGATGCAAGTATATAATACTGCTGCATAGAGGTATGCTTATGACCTAGTAAGTGCCTTAAAGTTCTCAGGGGAGATAGTATTAGCCATACCTCCTTTTTGAAAAGCATAGCAAACTAGTGAATTCTCTAACCTCATAGTTGTCTTATGGTAGATAAATCTATGCTCATCTCCAGTGTAGCTAATCAGTTGGTGATGTCCACTCAGGGTACCCACCGTGTTGATGATTTGTACCCTATCTTGATAACTTCAGATAGAGTAGTTGTCAAGAAGTATATGCATACACACCTGACCTAAGCAAAGAAAAAGGTTTTTTTTTTTTTTTTTTTTTCTTCCAAGTTGGTTCGCTGAAACTACATTGATCCCTAAATGGCCCTTTTCACTCAAACTTTACGATCAGATCCGCCTGCCAATTTTTCAGTCGAACCTGATCAGAAGCTCCATGCAGCTTTATGAACAGGCGAATGTAAATGGCCATGTGTCCATTTACACCTGCCTACCTCAGTCTCTCCAGGTCCAGATGGACAGAAATGGAGTGGCCTAAATGGGACAGATCGGAAGTAACTTGATTGGACACTGGAGTCTGTTTTTACATCCAGCCACTCACAAAGCTATAGGTCTGCCAGGCACAAACTGAACAGGCACGGATGTAAAGAAAATGTCCATCCCATTCAGCTCCAGTTCAGTAGGGGATCTGCTCAAGGATCTATTGCTGATTGGAGTGGACCCTGCTTCATGTAAAAGTGCCCTAAGGGTCAGAGTGGAACCAACAGTGTCTACAATGCAGATAGCCATGCATGATACTAGGCTATGAGCATGCATGCTTATGTGCATTGTACTAGGATATTGAGCATGTATAGAACAGGGAGAAAGACCATGCGGTAGTAATTCTTTTGCAAGTTTCCAACAGCTATGTCTACTGCTAGCTTGAGGCTTAGTTTTGTATGGTAGTAATGTATAAATTGTAACTTTTTACAAAATTCTCAGACCTTTTAAGTAGAGAAAATCTTTATTTGAACATAGTTGTGTTTTTTGTTTTTTTTTTTTTTTTTTTTTTTTTTTTCTTTCCTTTTTTATATTTTGCCAAGGACCAAAGGACACATCACACCTCTTTTCTTATGGATAAAAGCAGGATTGCTTCAGTTTATCTGTTGCAAGGAGATTTTAATTTGTAGGGTCTCCATTTTCTATAAAGAAGCTAGTCTTCTCCTTTTTTTTTTTTTTTTTTTTTTTTTTTTCCCCCTCAATAAGTAGACCCCAGTGCTTCTTTTCCACTTCTTCTTTTTATTTTATTTTTTTTTTTTTTTTCCCCCCCCCCCCCCCCCCCCCCCCCCCCAACCCCCCCCCCCCCCCCCCCCCCCCCCCCCCCCCCCCCCCCCCCCCCCCCCCCCCCCCCCCCCCCCCCCCCCCCCACCCCCCCCCCCCCCCCCCCCCCCCCCCCCCCCCCCCCCCCCCCCCCCCCCCCCCCCCCCCCCCCCCCCCCCCCCCCCCCCCCCCCCCCCCCCTTCAGACAAAGCTTATCCTACAGGTAGGAGGGACCGTTGTGTATAGCAATATAAGATAGAACCTTTGCATTCCATTTTATTCAAGACTATACTGTAGTTTCTGGTAGTAATTGAAATGTTAAACTTTTATGTAGATGCTCTTAAAAAAAAAAAAAAAAAAAATCTACCAGATATTATAAATGTGACTTTCCAGGGTGACGATCCTGCATATACTAACTCATGGTTTTTTTTTTTACTGTATCTCATATTTTGTTTTTTAGCTAATGTATTGTTAAGTTGAATATTTTCTAATCAGCCTATATATACAGTGCTCAATGTGGGGAAGGAGCTGTGCAATGTACATGATACAACCTAAAGCCAAAACCATTGTTTTGTTTTTTATTCCGCTTTTAATAAATCGGCCCCCACAGTTCTTCAAACTGTATGCATTACCTAGAGAAGATCATGCTGCAATAGAATGTTCTAATATGGCAACTCGGGATCTTAGCCCTGAGAGACAATATGTGAATTTTTTTTTTTATTTATCTAATAAAGGATGTGACTGGATAGAATTTATCGTTGTGGTTTGTAATTTTTTCCTGTGTCTAATGGAAGTCCTGTATGTATATGGGCCAGATGATTCCAACGTGGAAGAGTCTCAATATTGAGATTTGCCCAAAAAAGACCTGGTTTTCCCTACAACCCTATTCCCATGCTCCCCCTTTTGTGGACATCCCTTAGTTCAGGGGCGTCAAACTCAATTTCATCGCGGGCCGCATCAGCATTATGGTTGCCCTCAAAGTGCCAGATGTATCTGTAAGACTATATAAACGTATCTACTCTTTAGCATAAGAAATATTTGCCTCTGCATTCAATTACTGGGTTTAGTAATAACTTAAGCTGTGAGGGGCAGGTGCAGACCAACACGAAGCCCTCACACACCTGTAACAGATCATGCAGGACTAAAAAGAGGGTCGCACACCGCTGGTATCATCCACAAGAAACATTATTGGAGACTGCTCAGAGGGAACATGGTTCTGCCCAGGTGTTCTGTCTGAGCAGTGTCTAATAAAGTTTCATGTGAACTCCCCCCTACTAGACTAGTAAGACTAGAGGAGGGCTGCAGTCAGCTAGTCTGCTGAATACTGAGATCAGGAAAGGAGGAGACAAGGGGGGTGCTGCAGCTGCACATAGAGGTGCAGAATCTGTAGGAGTTCTGTGCTCTTCTCTGCCCCCCCCCCCCCCTCCTCAGCAGGTGGCAGCATAGACAAACCTCCGTAGCTGCACCGAGAAGCGGAGAAACGTGTGTGTAGTGCATTTATAAAGTATTCAGACTTTTTTTTTTTTTTTTTCCCCAATTTTGTTATGTGGCAGCCTGATACTACACTTTAAATTCATTTTTTTTCCAAGTCATCTTCCAGGGCAGTATATGAAAGACCCAAGATTTTTTTTTTTTTTTTTTTTTTTCCTGGATATGTTTTATTGCAAAAAGTCAAAAATGGTTTTAAATTATCAATATCAAATCCCACCGAAAGAAAGCTCTATTTGTGGGGGGGGGGGAAAGACATAACTCTTATTAAAGTAATGCAGCACCGTATCGCAAAAAATGGCCTGGTCAGGAAGGGGGGTAGATCTTCTGGAGGGTAAGTGGTTAAACAACTGTAGTATCAGGTTGCAGCATAACAATTGAAGTAAAGGGGGTCTTAAAAATGTATGAATAAAAAATATATAAATTTAAAAATGTATGTATGATTTTACTTCATACTATTTTTTTTTTTTTTTTTTACCTGTGCCGGAGCTTGCAGTCAATTTCTTCCCCTACATGCTTGCTTGGTATATACTGGGCTGCTACCCTTAGGGTATCTGCTGATAGTTTGTGGATGCAGTAGCGACTGAATGCTAGGTAGTCATATTAGAGTTGATTCACTAAAACTGGTAAGTGAAAGATCTTGTGCAGCTGTGCATGGTAGCTAGTCCATTTCTAACTTCACCTTGTTCAACCTGAGCTTTGACAAAAGAAAAAACTGGAAGCTGATTGGTTACAATGCAGATCTGCACCCAATTTTTTTACTCACCAGTTTTTTTTTAGGCAATTGCCCTGATTGTGTCTAGTTTACTTGATGAAAATGGAGCATAGCCATGTCCATACATTTAGACAGTCAAAGCACAAACTTTCTTCAGGCAGTGCCAATGGCTGGCTCTGCTTAAGGGCTAGTTCACACTAGATGCAGTCCAGTGTGTGTGTTTTTTTTTTTTTTTTTTCCCTGTATCAAAAATGCATGCACAGTGTTTTCCATATATTCCAATGGCCCTAGTTCACAGCAGTGCAGTTAGTTTCCGGTGCAAAAAAAAATAAAGTAGAACATGCTGCATTTTTTTTTTTCTGCACAGAACCATAGCAAACGGCACCGGAACTGCGTGTGGTGTGAATTGTAAACAAAAACATATCTGGAATGCATCTGAAGTGCGTGTTTTTTTTTTTTTTTTTTTTTTTTTTTTTTTAAAGTGTGAACTGGCCCCTTAAGGTCACCTTTTTACATGGCTGGCCGCTTCCCTGCTCCAATGCCAGTATTCCAACTGGGACACCAGTAGGGAAATGTTACACTGCTTTGAGTACTACAGTAGATGGTTCTATTGAAGGTTGTGTGTAAGCACACAAACTGGTGGGAAAGTTCACTGCTTTTGCAGAGTGCAGGGCTCTTTAGTGGTCTGACACTCCTCTCCACTCCCTATGCAGTGCTACAACTTACAGTGCTGTCAAGGGAGTCCAAGTACGCTGGCAGCGCAAGCACTGTTTACAGTAGTAAAACACACATTTTTAAAGCAAAAGTGCCATCATTTTTTTGTTGTTATGCATCCTGACTGTGAAAAACACAATTGAATACTTGTGTTTTTTTTTTTTTTTTTTTTTATAACTAAAGGCAAAGGTTTTGTTTTAAGGTTTGGATAGAGGAGCGAGGGATTAGAGCACCTGTCACCGGTTTTTATTGCGGTCTGTGTCCTCATTAGGGAGATCTACCCTGTTTACCATTATCATTAAAAGTGAAATTCCAAATTTTGGGTTGTCCCTAGAAAAGTAATAGTGGGGAATCTTCCATTGGGCACAGAGATTACCTTTAATATGCAGGGATTTCATCTCACTTCCTGTTTAGGCTATGGGACAGGAAGTGCAGGTAAATCCCCTCATTGGGACAATGAGGGCAAAAATAAAACTCTACAAGGCTTATAACCCTCCCTTGCTCTATCCAAAATGGGGAAAAAAAGTTTTGCCTATAGTTCTACTTTTAACTTTTTTTTTTTTTTGTTTTGCACCCTTTTTCCTTTAGGACAGATGGAGGCAAATAGAATTATCCATGTTCCCCGGGGACCCA